ATTAAGAGCAGCTTGCTAAATCTGACACTTGTCCAGGTGTTTTTATTTGAGTGCCAGTTCATGTCAAGATTATACGAGATAGTTACTTTGATGCTGACAGTGTGAAGAGAGAGAAAGAAAAAGAGAGGGCATATTATAATCAGTAACTATTAAATTGTGTCTGGTATTAAAGCTTAAATATACAAATTTCCTGGAGAATGAACCTACTAGATTTGATAGCCAAAGCCTTAGGGCCTGGTCTGCACCTGATCTGAATGTTCTTGTTGGCTATTCTAAATCTCAGCTCAGGCACAGCAATCATATATAAAACTCTTCAACGTGAACATACTSTAGGCTGAAAGGAGGAGGAATGAAAGACAAAAGAGTGAGGCAGAAGCAGTACTGCTATTTCCTGAGCCCTGAGGAATGAGAGGGATATATTCAGAGTGCATTGCCATCACAGTTTGATGCTGAAATATTCGCTACTTTTTGCTCAGTCATTTTAAGTAAATTTAAGTAACTGGGAACTGAATTTCCCAGTTATTTTTAGCAGAAAACTTGAAGTTATTAAACAATCAGATTTAAGCTTCAGCACCATTCAGGTCAGTTGGTAGGCATTACTTCAGTCATACAATCAACTTTTTACAGATAAGAAAGAAATTTCATCCTAGCCCTGGTGTTTCAATTCCAAGTTATAGATTTGAAGCCTCCCCTCAAAATAAGATACATCTTTGCAAACTTATTCCCCCATTTGCRCTTCTTAACATCTCTGCTTTTATCAGTCACCACCTTTTACTAGCTATGAATGTTATCATGTTTGAATGGTGCCATAGTTCATTTTCTTAAACCAATAGGCTCAGTCCCTAGCAGTACTGAGAGAAATAAAATTGCAAAAGGATGAAAGACTTCTTCCTTATAAGTAATGTTCTATTCTCAAAAAAAAAAAAAATCTAATGCAATAAAAGGCCTKCAAGCTTAATCAATGCAGTATTACTCAAAACATTCTTCAAAATCCTTTAGCCTTTTTTTTTGCACCATGTATGTTACTATTTCTACTACTGTTCAAGCTATCTCCTTCTGTATTCAACTAATAACATAATTTCAAAAGTATTAAGGCTTTTAATGTTATTGATTGTGATTATTTGACTAAGCTTTGTATTATAGTTTATATTTTTTTTCTCCAAGATCTTAGATTTTGGTTGTGTGTAAATGGGCTTCATTTTCATGGCATGATGGATTTTGGATTTCTTTTCAGTATTAGTATTAGAGAGTATTGAAATAAATGTCACAAAACCACTTTACCTGGTTACATTTTGTTACTGGTAGGGGTGAAGAGACCACATTCCGTTATTCTTCTTACCCAAGAGTGGCTTCATGTTATGATGCTAAGATGTTAGGAACAGTGATTACAGTAAGAGGCTTGCAGAAAACCCCAAACCATATGATCATCATTTTTGTATGTTTGTTTAATTTTCATGCAGAATGACACTTTGGGCCAGGGCCTGTGAGTTTTTTCCTTACTGTCCCATAAAGACAGCTTTACAATCAAGGAGAGAAAAGGGAGATTGTAGAAGAGACCCCTTGAGACTCTATGCCATCTTTGCTTCTGACACTTATTACAGGGTTATAGCTGAAAGTTAGGGAAGTGGTTGAGGAGTATCTTGATGCTCCAGCATGCTCCACTTGATCGAACAGCTTTTATAGGTGATAGACTTGAAATTTTGTGATGGGAAACAGCCTGGCAGCCAGATGGTTCTAGGCATATGTGTTTATGAGAAAGCTGCTTTAAGTCACTTCCAAGTCCTTTGGAGCCGAGTTGAGTGCAGCTTAGATTCAGGCAGTTGCATTTTCCATGTCATCTTCCATTTGTGTTCTGCAGCTTACTTCTCTTTTCTCTTTGCTTTGATTCTTCTCTGTTCAGTGTAAAGCCAAAGGGATGGCTAATAGAACAACCTCGCATAATGACAGTGAACAAGAATTTCTCTTCTGCCCCCTTTGCAAGCTACTTAGATTTAGACATGGCTCCTCAGGAGGAAAAACATTATGTTCCTGCTTGTCCCATCCTTATAACTGAAAAACTGAGGAGGTATAGGTCTTGGACTAGTATTTGAATAGTCCTTGGATTATATTTGATGCTGGTATGAACAAGCCTTTCTTTCTCTCTCTCTCTCTCCTCTCTCTCTCTTTTTTTTTTTTTTTTTCTTTAATAAATTAAGGCTATCTGGGTTGCAATTTGGAAATGGAAGTGCAGCTGTAACCCTGCCTCACTTTAATGTGTTAATTAATGTGGATATTTGTAACAAAATGTAATCATATAGCACAAGTGATGATGGTTAGGTCTGTTGGTATTCTCAGCCTAAAAGCATGCTCTGATATAAGGGCACCTGTAGTAGAGATGTGTAACATTACGCTGAGCCTGGAGAGTGCAGAGTAGGGAACCAGTTTCCTATCTCCCCCAGTACCAATGCTAAGGTGAAGCAAGTGACACCAGTAGACTGGCAGATGGTTGAAACAAATAAAGACACCTTCATGTAACAGGTCACTAAAGTATGAAGTGCTTTGCTGTAAAGTGTTGCAAAGGTTAAGCACTTAAGTGGGTTCAGGAACCAATTGGCCAAATTCACAGAACATAACTATTAAGTACAAGATACTCATCTGCTTGGGATTCCTTGCTCCGTGAGATGCCAGATGCTGGGAGAGTGTATTGGAGAAGTATCACTGTATGTTTGTCCTGTTTTATGTCCTTTCCAGGTGTTTGCTAATGATTACTGTTGAAAACAGGAAAATGATGTATGTGGACTTTTGATGGAATCTGGTACCACAACTTTGTTTTCCTGCACCTTTATAAACTGCACTCAAATTTAGGATTGCATTGTAGGTTYACCTCTGGAAGTATGTTTTCATGTATACTGTCATTTAGGACTGCTTTTAGAGCAGCATATATTAGGTAACACTCTTAGCTTAAGGCTATGTTTATGGTCTCAATGCAGCTCTGAGATAATGAAAAATTATGATGGAATTGTACCAGGTCTCTACTTTTATGTTGTTTTTATTTTTGTATTTTCTCATTTCATTGTAAATGCTATGATTCTTTTTGTTTTTCTTCATATGATAAACATGGTAGATTGGAAGATAATAAATTTTTAATTGTGAATGAAGAGCCACATTAAGCCTACCAACCTTTGTGTTTTGGGAGATAAAAGAAAAATAAAAGAAGAAACACATTTCATCTCTTTGCAGTCTGTCTGAATTTAAAATGTGAAAGCCAAATTTGTTGTCTAATTGTAGGCTGGTAAACAGGATTATTGACTGTCTGGAGTAAATCCTCAGGTATTCCAGCCTTTTCATTATGTCGCACAATGATTCCAAGAATAACTCTCAGAAGAACTGATACATGCAGCACTTTCTAGGATCACTTAAAATGCATATGTATATTTGTTGTTATTTATTATCTTGTCCTACTTTTGTTTGTCCTCGTTTTAACTTTTCAATTTGCAATGCAATTTCTGCAGCTTTGAAAACTGTTGAATATTTCACTGTACCTCAGATGAGCTTATATATATTTTTAAACAAAATGGAGGCACAGTGTGGTATAGGTGAAGCCTATCTAATGTTGTCTTTTATACAGGTTATTCTCACGACATTGTTAAGATGAGGCAATGCAGTTAACAGAGTCATTGTTCTCATTTGGCCTTCTTAGCCTGTGATTAAATGGGAGTTGCTGCCTGTTATACTATGAGTTGGCTGACAAAAGCTGAATCTGTCACAGGTGCTGCGATTTGTATATCAGAAAATKTGCTTTCCAAATACTAATTATTCCCAAAATATCCTACTTCACACAAAGCACAGATAGCATAGTCGGCAAATTTGTCCCGATTTCAGCATTGTGCTGTAAATTACGGTTTATCTCCAACCATTGTGTAAAATGAAGATGATGGAAATTCAAATGCAGGGGAACTCATTGATTTACAACCTCTGATGTGATTTTTTTTTCCCCACTTAATTCTTTCAATCAAAATGCTGCAGAAGTATGTTATTCAAATAATTGTTGCTGAATTTCAGTTCCATAATTGAATAAGGGATGTAGGAAGGCAGGAATCTAATAGGGTTGTTTCTCCAGATAACGTTAGAAAGTAGGAGAATTTTGTGCCTGGAAGGCCAACACCTAACCAGCGATATGTTTAAACTATTAATTTGGGAGGTTAATTTAATATGACGGTAGCTTATCGGGCATTATCTTTCTGCATGCTACAAGAAAAGAATGAACACTCAGTTTTTGAAACTGCAGCTGAATAAGAAAAACCATTCAGTTTATAACTCTCAGACCTGAGTCATGTGTACAGTGGCACTGTACATGCATGTACTTGTGCAAAAGCACAGTCACCTAGTGCTTGTGCAAAAGTACTTGTGCAAAAGCACAGACACCTAGTCAGCCTTTTTTCTTGTACACATATTACATTGCTTCCTGTGGTGAAGAAATTTTCTGATAATCTGCTATGGTCTGAGTTGACAGTATTACATATTTTGACATATAAGCTGGATAGGTGTTCATAGTTCGAGTAATAGCAGGTTAATTTATCTCAATTAAATATTCTGTAATGCATCTTGCTATTGTAAAAATTAATTTTCTGCAGTTTTTTGACACTAGAYACAGAATGACAAGTTAAAATAGTGACTAGAATTCTATATGAGAAGCATCTCCTCTCATTGCCAAGCTTACCTAGAAAACCTTTTTGAGATTACACAAATAGATTCAAAATATTTAGCTTACTTAGTGCCTTTCACAGAAAAGGAAGAGCGTTGAATGCTGTAAATGAAATGCCTAGCAACATTTTTTGCATTGCAAACTAGCTTAAGAAGCTGTTTATTTACCTCCTTTAGGATGAACACATTGTATATTTCTAGATTTCTGACCAATGCAAACATTAATGCGATTTAACTTATAATAGTAGTGATTCACAGCTATAGTTGTTTGGCTTGTGTGTAGTAATACTAATTTGTATTTTGGTTTATTTCTCTAGGACTATTTAACCATTCACAAGTATGGCAATGCAGCCAGAAATGATCTCTGGAACACATTGTCGAAGGTAAAGTGTTTTCATGTATTGCACTGAGGGAGATGCAGGAGTTCACTGCCCTATTTTTCATGGTGAGGTTAGATGAGAATAGTGCATATTGAAATCATCAGACCCTAGAGCAAATTTAAAAACCCATGCAAAGAAATTCTGTTTGAGTTCACAGAGTGACAATAGTTAAGTATATTTTCTTAGTGTTTCTCTTCTGTGTGATGTTAGAATATATTTCCTTGTTTGTACTATGTCACTGCTGTGCAATGAAAGATATTTCATGGAATCTGCAATCTTTGACTTTAGTGGCAGCAGACTGAGGCCCATAAGCTGTAAAGTATGTGAAAGTACAGGGCTTTGGCATTTGCAGCAAGTAGATTTGCCATTGCTTATAGAGTTACAATTTGTATGAAGGACAAAACTAGTAAAGCTCTAAACTTGTTTGGTACACACARGTAACTATTTACTGTAATTCTTGGCATACTGCAGAGAATCACAACTACTAGGTCTGTGGTCTCTTTGCTATCCCCAAGTGGGACTTATCGTTCTAGACCCAAGTCCAGGAGTCTATAAGAGCAGTTATTTTTTGTCAAAATGAGTTAGCTATGCCTGAATTTCCTATCTAGAGAGCTAGTCTGGGCACTCATAGGACATGTCAGTACAGGGAGTAGTCAGAGAGGCTTGGCAGGAATGCAAACTCATGTGCAAACATGAGAATGTAGTTTTAATCAATTAGATTTAGTTGACACCAAAATCGAGGTTCAGCTGGAGGTTAGGGAACTAACCTCAGCTAGTCTCCCTATAACCTAATCATCTAAGCTCTGATTATAGTTAGTGAGGACTGGATTCAGTTGCCCATTCATAGGCATCTAATGTTTGCCTTAAATCAGCTTGCCTGGCTTCCAGGTGGCCCTTCAGATAAGCACATAACTGCTGTAAGTCCACCAGTTCTGGAGGATATGGTAGATATTGTAGGACATCTCAGTTGATACTAGATGATCGGGAAAAAACAGTAGACCCATAAATCTAGTCAATATTTTTGGCAGATCATAGAGAGCAATTCAGTTTACTAGACACTGGATGATCACCTGAAGATTAACCTGAACCACTCACTACCTCTCGACTAGGAACTTGAGATAGTAGCTCAAATATAGGCAGCTAGAACCATTTTAGGTTCTATATGGTATCAGAGACATTGAGATAGGGCTAATAGATGTGACACAAAATTTGTGGGGAAATCTGTACCCTTATGGTCATGGGTCATGGGCAAATGACTTTAGCCATTTATGTATGGGCAGCTGAACTGAACCTTAGGCCTGTGCTGTTAATGAGAGTTTAAATATGTGACATACAGCGGGACTCTCAAAGTCTTGATTGGAAGTTGAATGCCACTGTGAAAGTCCTTCTTGCTACTTGCTTTTTGTCTGGTATCTTCCACTGGTAAAGCCTTTGGGACAGCTCCTGGTAAGACAGGTAAGAATATAATGTTCAAAGAACAGCAAAACCTACAGCATAATATAAAGGCCTAAAAATGAGACTATCCTGGGCTATAGCCAACAAGGCTATACTGTATGCTCAAATCTATTCGTAAGGCTTAAAATTGCATTTCCCTCACCTATARACACCTTTGTTGCCAACTGCTGCCTTCCTAATGCACTGCAGTTGTAGCTTAAGTTCTGAAGGCTTCCTGCTGTGTCCTGCTCACACTCATGAAAGATGGCATGGTCTTAACTCTAGGCCTTCTTGACAGCCAGAGACATTCCCTTCACTGACAAGGAAACGGTGTCTGTTATTCTCCTCATACACAGTCTCTTCTCCCAGGATGACATAGTATCTGTTTTTGTTTCAGCTGAAATAAATGCTATAATAATAGCCTTTTTATTGGCACACTGTATGAAATATCGACACATCAATCCTGCATGTGCTACCAGAGGTGCAGTGTTTGAAGGAGCTTGGGTTATCTTTTTATGAATAGCCTCACTCTGGACATGAAGGACAGTATTTTCAAATAAGGACTTCTTCAGAAACTCAGTACTTTCAAAAATCAGGTTCTTTAAATATGCCTTATTGTAGATATCCTACATCAACTTTTACGGATGAAAATCTGTCCTTTTAACCTTCACTGGTCAAGAATATCTTTTGGAAATAGCCCAGTGTTTCTGTGGCTTTTGCAAACAACCTGTRAAAGAGATTGTTTCTTCTGTTACACCAAAAATGCCTGAATGATGTGGAAAACATGATTTTCTGATTGTGCTCTCCTCTCCGGCAAGATTCCTCCCTGTTTGTTTTTAAGATATATACAGGTAATTGATGTTGTTATATAGTGTGTGTACTGGCTGAAGAGATGCGTACACACTTGCATGATGGTTTTTTAAACCTCTAAAACTAATGGTGATCTTCTGTGACATGAAGGGTAATGTTTATGTATTGGATGATGGTATTGCTTCACCATACTAAAACTGTTCTTTTTTCTTGTAGGCTTTAAAAAAGGTTGGGAAATTTGTAAACATCCAAGAAGTAATGGATCAGTGGACGCTGCAGATGGGTTATCCTGTTATTACAATCTTGGGAAATGAAACTACAGACAATATCGTAGTAATCTCCCAAGAGCGTTTTGTTTATAACAGTGATGCTAAACCCAAGGATCCTGACTTTGGAGACAACAGGTACTTACATTTCTGAATGAATTTTCATTTAAAACATTATAGTTAAGAACTTCTTATGTGTAATATTACACGTAGATACTTATGTAAAATCTGAGCTTTGCTTGGAATCAGTAGTGCGTGCTGGTCCTTCCATTTCAATTTTATTAAAGATTAAGTTAGTTGAGTTGAACAAAATCATTAGAATAATAGAATAGCAAGATAAAGCTTTTAATGTGCCTATTTGCATCTCTCTGGCATTTATGTGGTCTTACGTCATGCATCTGTTTCTTCTCCTTTTCTTCTGTTTTTGTCATACTCCATGAAGTAAGCTGGAATATAGTTGGAAGATCTGATTTTTTTTTAAGTAATTCCTGAGACCAGACSTTTCCATATTCATATTTAAGTAGGAGATTGGCAGATGTAACCATGTGTCAGATACATGCTTGATTTGACCTGGAAAGCAGTCAAGAGCTGAAAAGCCCTAGATAAGTCAAGGAATTCCAGTTTTAAGCCTAGTTAAACTGGTCCCATAGAGGCTGTTAAAGTGGCTGAAGTCTTCAGGTCTGTATCTTTTACCACATCCTAGATTGTCTCCTTCATGCTCCCAGTTGACTTCACACACTTCCTTCTTCTCAGAGACAAGCTGACATTGCTGGATGGTGCTTAGGAATCCATCTCTTATTAGGTAAAGCAGCTTTGAGATCGTATTGTAGGGTCAAGGGCATAGAGCTGATTCTAGAGAATTACAGTTTAATCTTAGAGGCTTCTATGTTTGCCTTTTCTTGTTCAGCACAAAAAAAAAGACACATTCTGAACATTGAATTCCTGGTGTTTGTCAAAGAGATATAAACCATTAAAAGATAAATTTTAATATAAAATTTTCTTGACACTCCAGGAGCTTATACAATATGTCTGTTGAGGAATGTCTTAAAAATATTTATATATATATAATTTTTAGGACWAGAGGAAATGGCTTCAAATTGAARCATCGGAAGTTCCACAGGAACTTAAGGAAGCATTTCTTCACTGTGMGGGTGACAAAGCACTGGAACAGGYTGCCCAGAGAGGTTGTGGAGTCTCCTTCTTTGGAGATCTTTAAAACCCGCTTGGATGCAGCCCTGTGCCACGTGCTCTAGGTGACCCTGCGTGAGCAGGGGGGTTGGACTTGATGACCTCTGAGGTCCCTTCCAACCTTTGGCATTCTATGATTCTATGATAATAATTCCATTTGTTGGTAATTGATATTTATAATTTTGTTTTTTTTTTTTAGGAATGTGAATATTATAGAGCTCAAGTGTGACACCCAGTAAATTGTTATTTGGCTGTACTAGAACAGCCTAGCTGGGTATTATGCATGTGTTCAAATTCTGCACTAAAGTGAGTTCCTTTGTAAGTAAGAGATAAAACACGAAATGAAACTACTGGGAGCGTTCAGTGCAACATGAGAGCAGTATGCATTTGCTCACTTGAAAATTCCCTTTGTGTGAAAGTATATACCTGCATATGATGAGAGTGGATTTGATTACTCATAAAAAAAGTTTTTTAATTATTCTCTTTATTATCTCTCTATTAAAATAYATATATACACACATATATAACAAACATATACATATATATGTGTAACAATTTTATTAGTTTTTTGATTGCTTAAAACAATTATATTAAGTTTTTAAGTACTGTGGAGGCTTTCTTRGGTAGTTCTGTCAGGTACTCAGTATCTATTTAATAACTATGCTACTCTGTCCTTCATAAATAAAAATATAGAATATGTAGTATTTTGTCTGCTGGAATCTTGAAGGGTGAGAGTTAGACTCTTAAAACTTTTATTTTCATATGTGGCATAAATATAGAATTGAATCCAAGTCTTGAGATACGTGGAAGGCTGGTGCCCCATTCCAGCAGGGCAAGCTGTGTGGAATCTTAGGGCGATTTTATCCATAAACTTTATAGCAATTATAAATTCTAAACAGTGGAAATAACCAATAGCACTGTACAGAGCATGGAAAAGGTAACAGCTTTGACCCTGCAAAGAGTTTAATGTCTAAATAGACATTACAATATGTATTATGTGCATCTCCTTTGGCTGGTTTGTTTCCTCTTCTTGTCTCCCTTCAGATTAGTTTTCGTCTGTGCTTACATGTCCTTTTTAAGCATAAATGAGGAGGAAGTTTATTATCCAGGGAAGGCTTTACGGATAGAACGCTTATGCCAGCCAGTTAGAGGAAGGAGGTAGTTTGCCGCTTTCCCATTAACATTATTTGAAAATCATATTGCATAAGTATAGATTTCAAACAGGAGCCATATATTATGGGAGCCATAATAAGCCATCTTATTAAAAGATGGCACTTGCCTGTAACAATCATCTTTCAAACATAATCTCCCAGATTATTTTGAAGTTTTGATTGTAAAGTAGGTTCTGGAGTAAAATTATATCATCAGCACTGATGSTGTAATCCATTAGTGCCCTGCCCATAGACACATGTGCTCTTATTGGAAAAAAAAARAAGGCTTTGTGTTGTCAAAAGTCCTTTTATGTCATAGAATTCAGTATAAAAACAAGATTGACATCCTGAAAGTAAGTTTAATATTGGTCTCAGAAATGTTACATGATTTAGGATTTWWAAAAAAAAAAATTATAAAAATAGCTATTGTTTGAATGGTGGATTTGTATTAAGTCAGTAGACAAGGAAAATTGTATTAATATGATATCATTTGAAAATGCATGGTACATTATTCCATGTTGGTTTTCAATATTACCTGACCCAGAATTTGCCTGACATGACATAGAGACCCTTTTTTTTTTTTTTTTCTGCAACTACACAAGGGACTAATACTTTGAATTAAAAGCAACATGTTAATAGACGTTGAGTTCTAATGAGAAGTGTAGCACCCTGGTAGATTCTGCGGATCGGTCTGGTCAGGAAGTTGCAGGAGTTTATTGACTGTTTCAGCGARGCCTGATAGCACAGGTAGATGCTGTGGGCAGCACAGAGGCATATATAACATCAGGCTGCATGCTTAGGGGTGTTGTGTATCAGTAGCCTAATTCACAGTCCAATAAAGTCAGCGCTCATCTCTCCTGAATGACCCATGAATTAGACCTTGGATGCATGGCTCCCCAGGGAACTATAATAGGTACTGTAAATAGTGGGGAACAAATTGTATTTATGCCACATTTGAGGCACTACTCCTGCAGGGCAACTGATATTGGCTTCCTTAGGATAGTTTATCTATGGATTAATCACGATTATCATTTTAAACATTGTAAATAATAAAGCTGCACAAAACAGAGAAAAACATGCTAGTCCAAGCCTCTCCAGGAGTTTATCATCTAAACAGACAACACAATATGCACTAGAAGACTCAAGGGATAGTTCTTAGAGCATACATCTGCYGAATAGTCTTTAGTTATCTGGAGGTGGGGCTTTAGTTCAACATGGCACAGCAATAAATGTCATTTCTACTAYCTTCCAAGTGACAGAAAGTTAAAACTTCTGGTTCAGGCTCTCTCTAGGCAAATTTAACRTTACTTTCCTTTAGGAAGACACAATTTATAATAGGTCTTTCAGCTGTGTATGTTTAAGAAATGTAAATAAAGAGGCTACTGAATATTTTACAACCATTTTAGTTTTATAGAATGCCTGTGTTTCTCTTTATGGTACACATTTATGCAGCTACTRACTGTTAGAAACTGTTAGAAATGTGAAGTAGTACATTTAATTTTTCTCTAAAATCATATAGAGGAATATATAAGCAAYAAGCATATTTTTTCTAGTTGGCAAATGCTAAAAGTGTATGTATTGTTGTTTCTCCCGCCTTATTTAACACTGGCCTCCCTGTCTCTAAGTAAAAGGCAGAAAAAAATGTGTTTCAAGGGCCACAGTATGCATAGTAATACATTTGTGTGCACTGACTGTATGGCATTCTAAGCTCTAACACTTGGAGGGCAATTATAGAATGTATACAGTCTCACTTCTATGCAAATTGAACATAGATCTTACCTGATRCTCACCCATTTGCATTATCTACACCTCTCATTTTATGAGAGAACAGAAGTGGCAAAGACAGACCCTTTTTCTAGGAATTATATTCCTGAGAAAAGACAGAATCATTGRGTTTCTGTTCAAATCTCTAAGCCTGTGGTGGGGGTAATGCCTCAGCAGCAATCTGAGATTATCTGTGCAAAAGTTTGTAACTGCTATCTTATACTGTTTTATTTTTAGTCTTCTCCCGAGTAGCAGTCTTTTAATTCCATTCATGTTCACTAGACTCATGTGTACCTGTCTGAGGATGGATTATGCTCTTACAACTTAAGGCTACAGGGGATGAGGTGATACTCCATCTGACAGGGTTCAGTGGGTTTCCCTACTGACTGAGAAAACGATGATTTTAAGGCACTAGACTCATCTATCATTACAAGAACGGGTCAAAGTTTTGACAGAAAGAATTTATGGAAAATAATCTGTGGTATGGAAAATACACTAATCAGTTTTGATGAAATCCATAAACCATTTATATACTAYGTTGAAGAAAAAACTAAAGCTTTCAGGCTATGGAAATGTTTTGCCTTCTAAAAATATATAAAGCCCATATCTTTAAAAATAAATAACTTTTCTAATATTATCAAAGTAATGAAGTTTCTATTGCTGAGGCAATATTTTTTCACTTGTATAGAATTTTTATGATACTAGTTCATGATAATATCTTCAAGGGAAATGCCTCAGTAGACACTGATTGTGGCTAACTGKGAGGAAAAAGAGGAAGGGTGTAAACTGGGGGACAGACAATGTGTCTGTACATGGTGCAGTCCATAGTGCCTCTGTGTGTACTAGGGAAAATTTAGTGGAATGGTGCAAGACAGGGACACGAAGAACATGACCAACGAGGCTAGAGCTATACAGATTCACGAGCCTGACACCATGTAGTAATCACTGCATGTGAAAGGCTGTACAGCTGCAGCAGCCCTGCTCCACAGTCACTCCACTCCAAGCTGGCTGATTACCAGGAGAATTTATTTGCCT